GTTCACGCCATTCTCCTGCCTCAGCTTCCCGAGTAGCTGGGACTACAGGTGCCCGCCACCACCCTCAGCTAATTGTTTGTATTTTTAGTAGAGACAGGGTTTCACCGTGTAAAGCTAGGATAGTCTCGAACTCCTGACCTAGTGATCCACCCGCCTCAACCTCCCAAACTGCTGGGATCACAGGCATGAGCCACCGCGCCCGGCTCAGGCTAACTTTCAAATGCTGCAGAATACATTCAACTGAAAATACCTAGCTGCACTGCAACTTGGAATGGAGTCAGGTAAGAGGAAACCAGAACTGTACAGACCCAACAACACTAGCAAGCAGAGATGCAAAATTTGAAGCCACCATTTCGAGACTTGGCTGGGTTCTGAAAAAGGTCCTAGAACTAGAAAGGCAAAACGTTAATGTTGAGGCTTCTGGCAGTCCACTGCCAGGGTGAGGGAAATGGGGACAGTAGGAGAGCTTCTGGCCTCAGCCATCAGACTTCTTTCTCCAACTATCAATAGTACCACCCTCCTTTCTCACTGGATCACAGGCTTTTTGAGGGCCAGGGCTGTTTTTCATTCCTATATTACCTGTGCCTGGCACATAGTCGATGCTAATAAATGTTTGTTAAACAAACGAATCTTAGCAATGATTCTGTTTTTTAAGCATAAGAAAAGATACAGGTACCAGAAGATCACTTATTATTTAATGAGCCCTCTTTTTCCAAGGCCCTGAAGACTAGTATCTAAGCTTGGTCTTCTCTCATACGTCTATTTATTAGTCTCCAAATGCACCCCCTAGCAAGGCCATGGCACTGGCACTGGCACTCTAGAATGAGAGAGGATGGAGTGATCGCCGTGGTCCAGCAGTAGCTCCCAAACAGTGCTTCACCCTCAAAAAAAAGTTTTTTTTATTTTTTTGAGATGGAGTCTCCCTCTGTGGCCCAGGCTAGAGTGCAGTGGCACGATCTCGGCTCACAGCAACTTCTGCCTCCCAGGTTCAAGCAACTCTCCTGCTTCAGCCTCCCAAGTACCTGGGACTACAAGCACGTGCCACCATGCTGGGTTAATTTTTGTATTTTTAGTAGGGACAGGGTTTCACCATATTGGTCAGGTTGGAACTCCTGACCTTGTGATCCACCCACCTCGGCCTCCCAAAGTGCTGGGATTACAGGTGTGAGTCACCATGCCTGGCCCCAAAAATATTTTTATATATTTAAAAAAATAATAAAACGAGAGACACTGCCCCTGAATGAAAACATGCTCTATGAAGAGAGGCGATGACAAGCTATACCACATCCAGGTCAGGACCCATGCTCCCCAGAGGTGGGCCCACCCTGCTCTTACCTGGGGGGCCACAGGTGGCTCTGCATTGGGTGGCTTGACAAAGAAAGGAATCCGGCCCCTCTGCCAGTCATTGAGGACCATCTTACCCACAGTCTGCAAGTCGGGCTCTCCACCCTGAAAGGTCACGAAGAGATTCCCAATTAAATTCAAAGGACCAAAACCACCTACCACTTTGAGGGTATTTCAGTTGTCCCAGGGGTTCATCATCACTTAAGTGACAAGTTTCACACTGCTCATACATGCATACCAACAAAAGGCCCATATCATATACATATATGCCTGCAACAGGTATCAGTCTCAATTCTCACAAACACTGGCTCACCTTTAGTAACTTCCCAGTCCGGAAAGCAAGCTTCTCAAGAAAGTCCTCAGCATTCTCCCAAGAATCAATCTTGTATGTTTTGCTGATATATTCTGGCTTTGCTCGTTCAAGTACAGCACCAATGTGGTCTTCAGGACTCTTAATTTTTTCCACTTGAACCTAAATGTTAATAGGAAATCTCCCACTTACAAACTTTGCTGTGGAAGCAGTGAAGTTCCCACTGTCCTTTGCAGCACTATTTGAAAATAGATTTCAACATCACAAAGCTAGTGGAGACTGGCAGGAGCCTGTCTCTGAGGTGGCTAGACATGGTCGGCTGCAAGGAGCACTGCTGAAAGCTGACCATAGCCACAGAGCCCAGAACTCAGCTTTAATCCCCACTCACCACAAACTAACTGCGTGGCTGCCACAAACAGTTTAAACTTGGAATGCTTCATGTTACTCACTTGCAGAAATGGTTAAAAGCCTGCCCATCCCAGGACACAAAAAGGATGGAATAGTTTAAGAAAGGAGAGGAGGAATGTGCACAGTATGTATAGCCAGAAGCATGGTCAAGGTTAAGTGGAACCATTTACAGTTTTCGGTCATATTCAGAAACAAGTGAGGAAATGACTCGGTTCCAAAATGACTCAACCCATAAACCCAGGAAGATGAATTATTGCTAAGCATAAACAGGCCCTGCTTCCCTTTGGATCCTGTGTGTAAACTACAAACTCTTTTGTGGCATGATATTGACCAGATATGCCCATGGTTCCACTAACTCCTCAAACAGCTTATGCTGAGAGGCTGCCCTGTTCAGCATCATGTTCCTAAAGTTTGATCAGACAGGCTGACCCCAAACTGCCTTCTTAATGAGTGAAAAGGAAAGCTATCCAGGGTTCCCTACAGAACACTCCCCCGCAAACACAAACAGCCTATCGGGGCCAAATACTCACAACTCCTTTTAGCACAATGTCTGTCTCGGAGTCCTCAGAGGGGTAAACCACACCTGGACAGTCAATCAGGAATATCCGACGCATCAGAGTAATATACTGCCAGACCTGAAGTCAGAAAAAAGTCAGAGTTGTCCTGTATCCAACACTAAGAGTCTAATTTCACAAACCCCTGACGCTCATGTATGATGCTGGAAAAAGGAAGGGGTGAGTCAAAGGAAAGCAACCTGCTAAGTAATTAAGCTACTAACTGTCTCATCTGTGCCGTGCACAAGATACTTCCACTAAGTGTAAACTATAGTTTCCAGCAGCTAAGAGTCTAAAAATAACGCAGAGACAGGATTTCCATCTAGTATTGTGCAATTATACCCAGTGAACCTTTCCCTGAGTTTTAAAAGTACTCTTGAGAGCTTAGTACTGCTTGATCTCATTGCCTTTAAGCAAAACCATGCTGTTCCCCACTCCGTGTTGTAGGATATGACCCCCAACTTTCAGGACCTACCCTAAGGTTGAGGCTTCTTAACCCAGGCATCAAACATTCTTGGGTTAGTTTTGTTTATCAAAATAAAAAGCTGGAGTGACCATTTAAAACAGATTTAAATATGAATCACATTAACCAACACACGCCAAAGCCACACGGTGGCATATAAAGTACTCTCAGTCTTACCAAAGTGGGCAGAAACAACTCCGATACGTTCCAAACTATTATATGGAGAGCTAAACTCCTAATGGTGGTCTGTATTCAAGAGAAGCAGTGAGAAATCAACAAGTCCTAACCAATCACCCTCTATGAAAATAAAATATGCAGAGGTACGGTCACCCTGCGCCAAACATACCTTCGTTTCACCTGCAATGGGAGCCACGTTGCAAACTTTCTTAGAACGCAATGTATTTATCACAGAACTCTTGCCAACATTTGGATAGCCAATGAACCCAATGCTGATCTGTTTCTTGTCAGTGTGCAACTGTTCAAAGAGAGAACACACAGCACACACATGCAGTCGTATGTATCCCTTTGGACAAGCAGGTTGTATTACTTTGTTAATATCAATACACTGCAAAGCTGTTGATACAACTTGATCTGAAGCCTAGATACACACCACCTACATAATCTGAGTGAGCTGGATACATCAGCTTATTAATAAATCAGAGGTGAGTCATTTCCTCAGTCATGCATGTGAAATTATCCTTATATGTGTTAAGGTTAAAAGTATGTAGGTCAAGAAACAAAAGAAGGCAGTGGCTCATGCCTGTAATACCAGCAGTTTGGGAGGCCGTGGGCGGATCACCTGAGGTCAGGGGTTCAAGACCAGCCTGGCCAATGTGATGAAATCCCGTTTCTACTAAAAATACAAAAATTAGCCAGGCATGGTGGTGCATACCTATAATCCCAGCTACTTGGGAGGCTGAGACAGGAGAATCATTTGAACCTGGGAGGCCGAAGTTGCAGGGAGCCAAGATCATGCACTGCACTATAGCCTGGGTGACAGAGTAAGACTCCAGTCTCAGAAAAAAAAAAAAAAGAAACAAAAGAAGAAGAAAAATAGCTTGCTAGTCACTGATTTAGGACAATGCCATTTACTGATAAAATATCTTCAGGAAAAAGAATCTGAACAGATTCATCAACTGGACAATGCCACAACTCACCCCTCCTTTTCCTTGCATAATACATCTGCATTTCCACTGCCAATAATAAATAACAAAAGAAAAAAAAGCAACCTTGAAAGTTAGACTACTGGGCGAAAGTCTCAAGAAGTCTTCTTGCTATCAAGAAGAGGGCCTACAAACGAATGGAGGCTTCTGATTCAACATGGTGAACTGAACATACATGCTAACCCCGTTCCCTCACCAACTCCACTAGAATGACAGCAGTGGACATTAACACTTTTAAACCAACAGAACCAAACATACTGAACCAGAGAATAGGATGGAGATGAGACAACGAAAACTAAAATGATGTTAAACAAAATACTAGATGCTTAAAAGCAGTATCAAACTTGGCCCACTACAAAACATAAAAGCTAAGTGGTTGTAAAGACAGAAAAACTAAAGATCCAGCAATAATAATGACAATGAATCATAGAGAGCCCTGGGAATTGGTGGTGTATCCCTTTTAAGATAGGGCTGAAAACAAGGACCAGAAGACAGTCTGCCAAAGCAGCCACACTTCTCCATCCCCTCCCTCATTCAGCGTGGGCACACAACTTCTTTACTCTCAAAGAAATCCAGGGCCTATGAAATAGGTTTTTGGATTTTTTGAAATGTCACATGTTTGAAAGCATCTGTAATCTTCAGACTTGAAAGGGATCCTGGATTTAGAGATAACAGTATTCCCAGAATGATTAATTGAAAATGTAAGTATTAAATAGTGAGATGCCCAGTCTACTATTCCCTTTGAGTTTCTAGAACTCTAGCAGCCAGGATTCTATACCCCTAGAACTAGAGAGTGAAAAATTCTCTTCTGGGGAAACTCACAAGCCCAAGAAAAAAAAGACCTACAGACAATGGTATCTTTAGGATGTCCTCCCAGCAAAAAATTTGGGTCCTGGCCAGGCACAGTGGCTCATGCCTGTAATCCCAGAACTTTGGGAGGCTGAGGTGGGCAGATCACTTGAGGTCAGGAGTTCTAGACCAGCCTGGCCAACATAGTGAAACCCCAACCCTACTCAAAATACAAAAATTAGCCAGGTCTGGTGGTGCTTGCCTGTAGTCCCAGCTACTTGGGAGGCTGAAGCAGGAGAACTGCTTGAACCCAGGAGGCAGAGGTTGCAGTGAGCCAAAATCGGGCCACTGCACTCCAGCCAGGGCAACAGAGTAAGACTCCATCTAAAAAAATAAATAAATAAAAATAAAAATAAATAAATAAATAAAATTTGAGTCCCTGTTAAATCACCCTACAATGAAGTCTATCAGTCAACAAGGCTACTCCATGGAGAAAAAAAAGAACCCATCAGTTTTTTAATGCCTTAATTTTTTTTTGTTTTGAAACAGGGTCTTTCCTTGTCACCAGGCTGAAGTGCATTGACACAATCACAGCTCTCTGCGGCCTCAGCCTCCTGGGCTCAAGCAATCCTCCTGCCTTAGCCTCCTGGGTAGCTGGAACCGTAAGTGTGCACCACTATGCCTTGCTAATTTTTTTCTATTTTTTTGTAGAGATGGAGTTTTGCCATATTGCCCACACTGGTCTAGAACTCCTGAGCTCAAGTGATCTGCCTGCCTCATCCTCCCAAAGTGCTGGGATTACAGGCATGAGCCACTCTACCTGGCCTAATGCCTTACTCTTAAATATAAATAGAGAATCAAGAATAAACATTTAAGTGTGACTCTACTTGGGGGTCGAGGCTGCAGTGAGCCATGATTGCACTACTGCGCTTCAGCCTGGGTTAAGACAGAATAAGACCCTGTCTCAAAAAAATTTTTAAAGTAAAAGAAAAAATTTTCAAGTGTGACTCTAGCAGAAAAGACAAAAAACAAAAATTCGGAGGTAACAGAATCAATGTAGACAGGAAAATTTCAAAACATCATTAACGTTCTTGGAGAGAGAGAAGACACTGTGACTGTGAAGTAAGATGTAAAAGGAGGCAGAGCAAATCAGATTTCAACAAGAGCTCTCAGAAATTACAAATTAAAAGTGATTGGCAAAATAAATTTTGTGATAGGGCAGCTGGATGATCAAAACAAGGAAAGTGGCCAGACACGGTGGCTCACGCCTGTAATTCCAGCAATTTGGGAGGTCAAGGCAGGCAGATCACCTGAGGTCGGGAGTTTGAGACCAACTTGACCAACATGGAGAAACCCCATCTCTACTAAAGATACAAAATTAGCCAAGTGTGGTGGCGCATGTCTGTAACCCCAGCTACTCGGGAGGCTGAGGCAGGAGAATTGCTTGAACCCGGGAGGCGGAGGTTGTAGTGAGCCGAGATTGCGCCACTGCACTCCAGCCTGGTGAC